TGTCCAGGCTAAAGAACACTCAGCATTCACAGAAGTGGAATTTTAGGTCTCTGGGGAAATTTAACATTGAAAACTGAGGCACTTTAGAGTTTAGACATCTCCATATACAGCTGAGTGGGGGGTTTAAGCACAGCAGTTTTGGCTTTAGGCACTAAAATACCACCTAGGTCTTATATTAGGTGCCTTAGTTGTTTTTTGGATTTTTTTTTTCATCAGGCAGTGACAATATCTATTAATAGTTTCTATAATTTTTCCAGCTGCAGAATAGCAGGAAAGGGATTCCTACTTCAGTATACAGGACTGTGCAACCAATACTAGGTTACTGTCTCCATTTCTGCTAGCCAGGATGCTGAAGAAGTGGAGAAACAAGATTTTTTTGCTTCTTGCATATTTCCTTGACCATCAGGGCTATAACAATACTCCAACCTGAAAAACTGGAGAGGTATAGAGTTGAACCACAAGAACCTTACACTAAGAAACTCAAGCTAAACAGATGGAGCTCTTTATCATAAAATGTGATTAGGCTCTATGGGGGAGTAACTAGCAGTAATTTTATGGCCTGTGAGATTCTGGAGGTCACACTAGATGATCTCAAGCAGTTAGAGGCAGAGATAATTGCATGTGTGCAGCATCATGCTAACACAATTATCCTGCTTCCAGTGTGAGAGTAGCATGAGTGCAGGTAGCTCAGGTGACTGCATAGTGTTGCCTTGTGGGCTCATGGCAATGCACTAAGGAAGTGACACTATATTGTGTCCAGTTCTGGATGGAGTTTTCCTGATACTGGAGGTCATATGGATCCCTCACATGGGTCCCTTGGCCATTGTTAAGGACAGGACAGAGCATGGAATCAAAAAGGTTGAGAACTACTAAGTTCATGATTGCTTCTGCCCGAGACACCTGTTACTACATCAAATGTTAAAATACATTCGCACATATATTCATCAGACAGTCACATTTGCAGGGATTGTCTGCTATGAAGCATTGTCTGATGAAAACCACATTAAGTGGATAGCTCTGATGTTTGGTATGTCTATTAAAACCATCCTCTTTATCCATGTTGTTATATTTCCCCTATAAAATGTCAAGCACCTGTTGCTGGAACACTAACTAGAGGCTGAAGTATGTTGTGGTTTGATATATTTTAATGCCATGTGATGCATTATGAGCAGCAAGCGTTAGCACAGAACTGTGTAGAACTGCTTATTAGCAACCTGTGTGTCACTTGTCTTCTCTCTCATTCTTGGTGCTCCATGTTGAAGAGGGTAAGGCATATTTCTGGGTTTGTTAAACATACTATTGGAAATCAAAATCATTTTTAAGGGGAGAGACAAGGTCTGTTCCTTTGTTGATCCTTGTCTGGACTTAGGCCCATCAAATATCAAACAACAGACAAATGACAATGCTGCTCCTCTGACAAGTTAATGATCCTGGCAAGCACATTGGGGGCATGCTCCAAGAAATTCACCTTGGGGAGGCAATGCCTATTCCAGGAGTGGAAATCTCCAACTGGAGAGCTGGCAAGTGTGTGCATATGCTGGAGGTTTAAATCAATCATTTCCATTTTTACTAAAGTTACCCAGCAAGATACAAAACTTGGTTTCATCATTAATGGCTGCTGGCCACTTTGCAGGCTTGAAGCATTAACAGTCTGTGCTACAATAATACTTTAACTTCACGTAAAATATTCGGTACTAAAGCCAATTGTTTAATCATTTTCTCAGTAGCTCTCATTTGAAAGTGATCAGCAATTTTCTCTGACCTTATGTCCAATCCATCTCTGCAGAGACTTTAGATGGCCTCTGTGACTATCTCTCCACTTAAAAGCCAGGCAAGAGCTCCATCTATCATGATGCCTGAATTCTAGACCCTGAGTCTTAGTGAACTGACAAATATTTTGACAGCATTGACTGGTGAATCAACTGGACTGCAGATTCAAATACAATGCAAACGCAGTTCTGACTTTGAAAACCAGTAGCTAGATCCATAAAAGAAATTATGCGTTGCTTGGCTGAGTACTTCAAGGCCTAAATTTTAGGCCTATAGAAGAATCCACAACCCCAAGTTAAGCACCTACAGCTAGGTCCAAGTACAAATTAGCTACCACAAATTAGCTGACTACCTTTTAGGTGCTTATGTTTCCAACAGTGCATGGGGAGAATTAGACACCTTAGAAACATGTTTTCAAGCCCATAATCCTTTCCTGAAGTCAGATACTTAAAACTGTTTTTTGAAAGAACTGATCAGAGCTCACTCTCTTCTTGTAAAACACAGCAGGAGAAAGAAGGACGGGTTTCCGTCTTTGCCCCCAGCCTTATTTTTGGTTTTATCCAATGGCTGTTTAAGGTAAAATGCATGAACAGTCCTGAGAGCAGAGACTAGAACCTAGGACACAGTCCTCCTTGGCGAGTACCACAGCCATGCCCTACAAAGTCATTCTCCCTCTTGTGCTCCCTCTCTGCGGCTTCCTGGACCTTGCACTCCTTTCTGCACAATTTCAAGGACAGTGTCTCCAGCTTACTTTGTCTATAGTTTGGTGATTGGGCAGTCTCCTGTGAGGTAGGAGATATGGACTTGAACCTCCTCAGGTTTAGAAGGGACAGAAAGCCAGATCTCCTGCTTCATTAGTAACTGTTTCCAGTTCCACAGTCAATGTTTTGGCTTCTACAACAGTATTTATGATCAGGGTAACACATGCTGAATTCATCTTCCTGGTTCTGGTTTGTTGGACTAACACCCTGGAACCCATGGAGGCCATTTAGAGGGGTTAAGCCTAGGTCACAGGTTTATTTATTTTTTACTTTGTTAGGTTTCATCCAGGACCTATTCAGGCTCTAAAAAGATTCTATTGCACATAAAGGTTTCACAAGTCGCCTTTGGCCCAAAATTATGATCTTAGGACAAAACATAAGGTCTTACAACATATCATACAAGTGGAACTGTTTCTCTTTCTTCCTTTACAGTGAAAAGATGTATGTTTTCATTAACATTCCTTTATGGTATTTCAATCTAAGCACAGTACAATCTGAAAGGAAAGCGACTAGAAGCTGATCCTAAACAAAATGAAACTGACAAGTCACCTTTCTTTTCACCATAATAATGAATCTCCACTGCTACAGCTTACAACAATGTAACATGTGTCCTGATATAGATTAATTGGAATGTGCCTAGGTTTCTAAATCATGTTTGTGACTTCTAGAATTTTTATTCAATAAATCAACTACACACAAATTTACCCAAACAGGGGGTTTGTTTTATTTTTAATTCATCTCTAGACCACATTTTTATTTTTGTTCAAACTCTCAGAAGAAGATGCAGTATTACACAAGTGGAGTTACAGAAGTTTGAAAATAAATAATGCATTTGGCCATTGCTTTCAATTTCCAATTGTTAACAATAAATCCTGTCACTGATGACCCATTATTTTCTGCCTAACACCTCCCAAATCATGGAAACAAGTTTTCTGCAGCCAATATTAGAAAAAACAAACAAACCCTAACATCTCTCAGAAATAATAGCAACAAAAACCTAAAGGGATCCTATTTCCCTTCTTAATGCATACATTTTCACTTGGCAGTCAAAACGGGTCTTACATTTTCACTTTGTTGGAGTGCACAAAAAATGTATATATCCTTTTTTTTTTTTTTTAACTTTAGACTTTAGGAATGTAAACTGGTTGCTTCTCTTAATTGTTGGAAGATTCATGGAGAAAAAAAAGCCCCCAGAGATACACATAAGCAATGAGCACAACCAATGATAGAAGAAGGCAGTGGCACTGACTCTCACTATGTAGTTCTATCCCAATTGGTAAAGCTTAAATCAAAAAACTAAAAAAAGCCAAACAAAAGACAAAAATCTTCTCAGAGAACCCTGGATCTTGGATGTAGGAAGATCAGTGTGTAGCAAATGCACAAATATTTGGGTACTTTGAAGTGTTTAACCTATTTCTCTTTGGCTAGATTCCTTCTAAAATAACATTTTAAAAAATCTAACTACAAAAAACTGTTTAAAAAATGAAAAGAAATAATCTCAGAGACACCAAAGGAGATATATACATATTCATGACATATGCCCATTATTAAAAAGTAATTCACAACTAACAGGAGTAGAAGTATTCTGTGATGTATTTTGTACAAAGTTCAAGAAATAACACTGAACATTTAAAGTGTTTTACCTTTTCCCCAGAGTATTTATGTAATCCCCACAGCATACATGTGAGGTAGATTCATATTACCCAATAAAAACAGAACTGGAAGCACACAGATTAATGCTTGCAAGTAACTTTGTCACCATGAATCAATGGCTGAAATTAAATTAGGACTTTCTGACTCCACCCCCCCCCCAAATTAGCATGGAATAGATGCCCCCCAGTACTGACTGGGAGAATGCAAAGAAGCCTTTTTTCATAAAGAAAAATATATGTTATCATAGTGGCTTTCCCTCTGCTGGTCTGATCCTGTGATCTTTAAAGCCTCAGCATTTCCACTGACTTCAAGATTGGGCCCGGCATATTGAATAAATTTCTTTCTCAGGTGAGTCTTTTAAAAAAAGAACAACAGAGGGAATTTGGCTTCCCCTCTCAAAAAACACACTCTTCAAAAACCTGACCCCAAAAGCTGGCTTTTCATTTTTCTTAAGGAAGACAGGGGACAAATATCAGAGTGAACTAGCCTGAAATACCTGCTTGCCGCTCCAGTCCAATAGGACAAAAATAAACTTCCCTACCAGAGAGCTGCTTCAGAGGAATTTATGCCTATGCTTTCTTCATACCTCAGTGTAGATTAGATACCACATATATGTTTGTCTTTCAGAACAACTACCACTCACCTTCTCCACATGAACCATTCCTTTGAAAATAATTAAATAAAGCAAAAAGGACTTCCCTCTACGTTTAATACCTAAATACCTCTAAATATATAAATACATTAGATGATGGTAACTGAACAGAAGATTCCAGGTTTTAAAAGCATTAAGTATGTAAAGATGCAGAGGGGCAAATACTGTTTAAAAAACATAATTCTAAGCACGTACCTGCACCTTTAGGCAACAGCCTTGTACAATTCTGGTCTCAAAGCACTAGTAAGTAGTATTATATGAGGAAAATATCTAACTCCTTTGAATGATTACTAGCTTTTCTTTAAGCACAAAAGCCCTCCTTGCTCATCTGTGCTAGCCCTGGGATAAGTTAAGGAAGCTTAAATAATGCTAAGAATTGTCAACATACAGTTCCTTGACACGCACAGAATATTTGCAGCAAACAGTGGACATGAATATGATTTCAATAAACAGAGTTCATTTTGTGAACTGGAATGTAAAAGTGCTTTCTTCTCTCAGTTTTGAGTTTTCACCATGTCGCCTTCATTAGACAAAGTGCCGTAGGATAAACTGTTTGAATCTGGTTGTATTTTGCCCATCTTTTTTTTTCCTGAGGGGACAGGGGGAAAAAAATTAAGGAACAGCCATAATAAAACAAATGGCCCTCCCTCCACTTTTTCTTTTGAACTGTTTTTGTTCATTTTTCCATCTTTCAAAACTCTTAAAACCTACTTACCAGGAATGTGTCCACAGTCAATATAAGGAATTCGTAAGTGCTTTGCTTCTTGATTTCTTGTGATTACAAAAACACCAAGAAATGACAGAAGACACCTGCAGAAATGTTATAATGATGTGATTAAGAAGCAGTTTGCTGTTTCTGACATAAAGATATTCTCATGGGGTTCCATGCTTCTCTGTCAATGGATTCGAAATCTGAGCTGCTTAGTTTAAAAGTAAAGAGACTCATTATTGCAATTATTTTGGATCAGGAGTCCTGCAACTGCTCTTGTGTTTGCTGTCAGCCTACACTTTTTATGGGACATCAAGAGCAGTAACAAAGGTTCCACATACTGAATTATGTTCTTAGAGATACCTCAGTCATCCATTACTTTTTGCTGGTTTGTGAACTGAGATCTAAATTAAACCATAACAAGGAACATACATGTTCACATAGTGTCTATGGTAGCATTGTTAACTAACGTTATAGAACAATCAAAAACTCTTTTGTCTCTCATTTGATTTTCTATCTTAAAGCCAGGCTATTGGCCAGCAGTGACCTGGAAGTTATATGCATTAACAAGCTGACCCTGTATACAGCATCACTACCTCATGTGTGTCACAGGCATGGATGGAACATGGTGAAGAGCAAATTCAGTCTCTTCCACTACAAACACTGTCAGTCACAGAAACCAAGTAGTAGTGCACTGTGTCTCCTCAGTCCTAGCTGCAGAGGAAACAGTCACATGCAATTGTTGGTCCCATTGGTTTGGGCTAAGAGCTGATTAAGGATTTGCTGTTCAGCTTGTGTGAAAGATTCCCAAAGATTTCTCATATATCACCTGAACCCCTAGGTATTAACAACCAGTCAAGGATTTCTAATTACTCTTTTCATACTTGGTTGTACAACACTTAGGCTGCCCTTTTTTGAGTATTTAGTTTTTAGCTTCACCTATTCTCTAAAGTAGTGAGGCATCTGCGAGTTAGCTGCTCCAGCATCTAGTCCCCAGAATGGAATCCAGACCTCACAAATAAGCACCCAAGCTTCTCAATACCAGGCATGCTCACTCCCAGCCTGCACACCAGATCCAGCCTATAGAGCCCTGTTATCTGGCCAACAGGGCTTCAGAAAAGGCCCAGAAATTTGGCAATGGGGAAGTAGTGGCAGTGCTAATTGCCATCCCCTTGCTGCCAAATTTCTGGACCCCTGGGGATTGTGCTAGCATGCAGCTGGACCCAGATATGCAGGGTGAGGCCAACTGGCTGGGTTGCACCAACTCTGTGGGATTTCCAGCCTACTGACCAACCCCCAAACCACTCATCCAGCACACCGGGCCATAAAGCTGGGAAACACTGTTCTATATAATGGGTGGGGAAAGATGGACACAAACAGACTTTTACGCTCAATGGGGAACCACCTAGTGGTAGACAATATCAAATACTAGGGGTGTGCAAAGCGGGCCTTATTCGATTCAGATTTGGATTTGGCCCCAGTCAGGCAGTGATTCAATTAGTTGATTTAGATCACCGTCCCTGATTTGATTCGACTGAATCCAAATCTGAAGAGTTGATGCTGAGTCAGAGAATGAGTGATTCAGACAGACACAGCTTTAAATGTTTTTTCTACATACTTTGAGGTAACAGCATGGCTTGTGAATGGTGAGATGGTGAGGTACATGGAGCATCCCACAGGAGTGTGGGGGGACCCTCCATGTGCTTGGCGGCGAACCTGGAAGTGGAGCCGAAGTACTACTGGTCCATTTCCAGGTCCACCAGGGAGTGTGCTGGGGGCCTCCCCCACGCTCCCCCGTGCTCCCCTGGGGACCCAAAAGTGGACTGGAAGTGTTTCTGGTCCACTTTTGTGTCTGCTGCTGAGCATGCTGGGGAGCCCCCATACTTCTGTGGGGCACTCCATGTGCCCCAGCATCACAGCATTCACGAGCCGCCTGCTACCTAGAGGTATGTAGAAAAAACATTGAAAGCTGTGTCTATGTCTGATTCTCCGAATCTCTCCAAATCCATTTGGAGGGTTCCGATTCGATTTGGAGAGATTAAAGGGTCCTCTGATTCAATATGGATTTGGAGATTTGGCCACCGAATTTGGCTGAATCTCTGCCAAATTGAATCAGGGACCAAAGCTTCACACTGCCCTATCAAATACTAAATAAAGCAGGTTGTAGCTAGGGATCTACCTAAATTGTAGTGAGTGAAAGGCATTTTTGTGGGCCACTAGTGACATGCAGGGCCAATTTTGTGGCCTTTTCACAGTGAAACTGCCCCTCACTACTGATTGGCTAAGAGGGTTGTCTGCCATGCAGCCCCCACCCCTCACCACAGCTGATTATATGAGAAGGCTGTCCATCATGTGGCCCCACCCTTCACTGCCAATTGACCAAGAAGTACAGGACCATATGACAGGCAGCCCTCTCAGTCAATCAGTGGTGGGGGGAGGGGGATGGGTGCCATCTTGGCTGATCCCCTTCAGGCCAGTGGCTCCACCCACCCCCAGCACACTGCAAGGCTGGGCCACAGTGGCCATGCGGACTGCTGTCTCCCAATGGGGAGCCAGCATTTTAGATTTAGTAAGTTGGGTTTTTTTTATTTCATGGGCAATGCCCAAGTTCATCGTTTCCACAAAATCATAAACTAAGTAGGTCCCTAAGTATAACTCCTACCCCTGAACTGGGGCTGCAAGGCAGGTACTGCTGTCCACTCCGATTTAGAACACGGAAGCCACTCTTGAGAGTACATGTCCCTAGCGTTTTTTTGAAACCACTGAGCAGAGCTCTGTTTTTTATCTAATTAACTTCCTTCCTCTTGAGGTCTGCCAGAGCACAAGCCTGAACATCTTTCAGAAGCAATGTAAGACCTGCCTATTTAGGTAGGCGTTTAACAAACAAAGCTAGGCTGAGATATTGTTTAGAGGATCTCTATTTTATGTATCTTCTATTTCTCTTTGTTTTGTTCTCGTTTTAGAAGTTATCCTGTCATCTAATTGTAGCTGCCTTGAGACTTAAGGTTAGCATATAAATTGAATAAATAAATAATGCAGCCATACGCAGAGAAGGTGGTGGTGGTGGTGGTGGTGGTGGTGATGGTGATGCCCAGCCTTGCCTTATATGAGGGGGGTCAAGTCTACATCTGTTACCTTCTAGGAAAATTTGCCTCAACCATCAGACTAGAGGCAAGGCTGAGATGTGAATAGTCTCCACCTCTCCTGGCCACCGTGCAACAAGGAATGCAAGATTTGTGAGGTCAGAAGCAGAACAAACATGATGGAGCATGACTGTATATGTTAATGGTTAAGGCCACTGGAAGGGGACAACTCAGGGTTCTGGTCCCTACTCCCGGGGCATACTATATTAAACAATCCTTGGATAAAAGGCAATGAAAAACTTCTGAGATCAGGGACTGGAATCCAGAACTCCTCCTCTGAGTGAGCATCCTAACACCTTTACATTTATGAAGTCATGTTCCCTCTTGTGTTCTCTCTCTCTCTCTTCCCATTGTCATGGTGTACCCAAATCTGCAGCAGGTCATTTTGGGGGAGACTGGATCTACATGCACAGATATCCCTGCAGGTTGAGCTAACTATTGTTGTGTTTGGTCTCTATCTGCAGCTAAGAATAAGGTAGGGTCATTTTATCATCGATGCGTTTGTATGAAATATGGTACCCTACATAAAATATGTATTTCAGTAAACCAGGAAAACCTAACAACCAATTATACTTTATTTATGGCCCAGCTCCTGTGTAGCAATGGGGACTCTATTAGCACACATATCAGGTGGATGGGAAACTCTTGGAGGAGACCATCTGTGAAATACAGAAAATGTTCCTAGGAACTGATTGGACAAGAGATGAATGGATAGGCAACTGCGGATTAGGTGGGGTCCCTTGGAGGCACCTGAATCTTAGGTTGAAGCAGGGGACCCTGTCAAGGAGACTGTAAGATCACCCCAGAGGTAAGTGGGCTATTAGCTGTTTGAAGCAGAGAGAACACCTAGAAGCTGTAGCACTAAGGATGTTCTGTTTTATTTCTGTATTCCCATCTCCAAACCTAACAACTCTTTTCTGACTTGTACAATACACCTATTTTGGTTTTTTAATCTAGCAATTTATCTTGTGATGAGTGATTTTAGAGCAGCTAGCAGCAGCAGGCATTTTGTTCCTATGCGGATGGCAGACTTACCTTTTCAAATCCAGGGGACCCCAAAAGTTTTTAGGGTCTTCCTCCACTAAACTGTAAGACCAAGAACTTCTAGAGGAAAAGGAGTTTCACATGAGCAAGAGCCAGCCAGAGCCCTATGGATACTCAGCAGGATAATGGGGAAAGGCCTGAAACCTTGGGGTCAACCTAAGGAAGGTAAGTCTGGATTTTGTTATATCCATAAATTTTGCATATACTGCATAGTGACCAAAGTTCAAGATGAGGCATGGAGGGTGTATTCAGTCAGCCAAAGTCTAAGCCTAGTCTTAAACATTTTCCTGGAAGGTAGATGTTGGCTAGAGTCCGACTGAAAATAGCCATAGATCCATATCTCCCACTTCCTGGACAAGTGCTCTTACACATAAAGCAGGTGGAAAAAAATCCATAATTTCCCTCATTTACAAAGGGAACACATGCTGTGCTGCTCGTGTTTCTTCTGTCAGAAGAATTAGTGGCTCACAAGTAGCTAGTATGAATAGCGTTCGATGTTTGGACTTAAAAGGAGGCCTCCAAAGCAAAATACAAATATTATTAGCCTTGGCTTTAATATTTTTCACACTACTGTGATGACTGTTCCATAATACTTAACAATAGAAGCAGTTTCTTCCTACCGAGAAAAGGAAAATTGATTCTGCAAAGTTAATGTGGTTTTAATACAAACTTTGTTACATATTTTCAGTCAAGGCCACTTACCCAAACAGAAACATGAACACATTCAGCAAAGCAGCACCTTGGAATTCCTGATAAAATATGACCCCTAGAATGTGACAGAAATAAGAACTGCTGATTTTGAGCAAATTCCAAGTGATATGAATTACAGCTGAAAGGATTAGAAGTGGCGTTACACTCAAGTAGGAAAAAAATCCCAAATATGGTATTAATACAAATGCTTGGGTGGGTTCACATTATATGTCTATGTTCAATAGCTAGGCATTTTTAGGTGCCCAGTTATTGCACAGAACTTGACAAGATTTTAACCCATCTGGTTTGGATCATTTGCTTGTTTTGCCAGTTGCTCTGCATTGCAACATCTTGGTTCACCAGCATCTAAAAAACCCTTGTAATATATAAGCATAGTTTTTAATGTATCCTGTCTGTATTCTGCACAGTCAAATCTTACAGGCTTGACAAAGTCTTCATTCAGGTCACACTCAGAGAGGTTCTCCACAAGCAGAGAGACACATAGATTTGGCTTAACCCAGGCAAAAGACTATGTCCACATACCTACATCAGCTTAAATCAGGTTTTGGGGTTTAGTTTAGTTGCTTAGGGTACCTATACACATGCTAGGGGTTGGGGGGAATATTTTAATTAGAATGGTTCCTAGAGAGCCACTCTAATTAAAACATTGCAGCATTACATGTATTTAGCTCCCATTCATTTAAAAATGGCCGTGAGATACTTTAACTAAAGATCCTCTAACAAGCTTTAGTTAAAGCACCCCAGCAGTCATTTTTCAACCCACAGGGGCTTATATACACGGCCCAGGAATGCTAGAGCATTTTAATAAGAACATGGAGCTGACTTGATATATTGAGTCTGCTCCAATGCACTCTAATCAGAATGCATCAGAGCACATGTATAGGCACCCTTAGGCACTGGTTTAAGACAACCTGCAATAAGTGCCTCTTAAACCACACAGGGGTTTATTGAAGTTTACACTGGTTTAAAGTAAACCAGTCCAAATTTGTATGTACACAGTTCTGAGGACAGTCCTGAATAAGGAGTTGACCTTTGAAAGCAGGGCAAGGCCAGATTCTCCATATGGTTACACCACTACAACATCTTTCAGCCAAAGTCTCTTGGTTACAAGGTAAAGGGCTATTTTAACACAGATGCTGAGGCAATATCTGTGTGGAATTCCTCTTTGCATTAATGGCTGTACTGTATGGGGATCTCCTGCAGATTAATGACAGGATAGCCCCCTGTGCACAGTCAAATGAATCATAAATGTTCTAACAACAGCTTGTTGCTGATTCAGCCTCTAAATCATCTTTGCTGCTCATGCGCTTGTGATGCACAAGATTTCCACAATTGTTCAAGTCTCTTTTTAATGTCATCAAGTTCAAAGGTCTCACCCAGGATAAAATGTTAAATACTTAAAAAGTCTTTGGAGTCTTTTATTTCCTTCACTTAACCTAGAATTCAGCCTTCTGAAATTGAATATACACTCACCACTAGAAAACACAGCTGGTTGTCATTTGAGTAGCTTGCCATGCTGTTAAAATGACTTTACCAGTTAGGATAGGGAGTACACATGGCAAATGCATTTACTGTACATCACACTGAGGCTAATACTAACCTAGGTACCTTTCCTAAGGCAGGACACAGTAAAATGCACATCAATACTAGAAATGCTAGAATTTGACAACTTCTATTTTGTTTCAAAGTTTTGAACTGATCATTTTCCACAGTTTCCACACCTGTTATTGAAAAGGTCTCCTAGGAAAACAAAAGTGATCATATTTGGTTGTAATCCCCCAAGCAAAATAAGAAGGTGCAGCTATTCTATTTAAAACATGATTTCTCTGGGATAGAAAGTCAAAACCAACCTGCAATGATGCCACTGGTGGTGAAGAACACAAAATTAATCGGCACAACTACTGTTGCATTGTAGAGCTGCATTGCTTGATTCAAGAACCTGGAAGATGACAGTTATTACATCTCCTAACTATGCTGTTTACTGTGTACTAGCACTAAGCTTAGCAGTAGGTGTGATACTTTCACATCAGTTCATCTAATGACCCAATATAAAAAGATGTCTGCAACACATCTATTTCCTGGTGGTGACTCTGCACAGTGCAGATACATACTACAAAATAAAAGATGATTAAAAGAAACCTGGTTTAAAATAAATGGGAGTTATTCCTGACTGTTAGCAGAGGTACACCTAGCAAAAGGGTACATAGAGCAAGATCCTGCTCTGCCTAATGAGGTGTCTAAGTGGCCTTAGATAGCAAATAGTGATCCTATTGAATCTCCTGAAAAAACATTAATTCAACGGTGAAAGGATTCTCACCCAGCTCACTGCTTTTTGTGGCCTTGTCTTAAGGTTAAGATGATAGCATGTTACAAGAAGTAGGTGTATTAATGCTTTTTTCAGGGACTTGAGCAAGGGGAAATAAGATCACACTTAGGCACCTAATAAGAGGGATAGGATCTGGACGATAGGACACAATGCTGATTAGTATAAGGAGGATTATGTTTAAGCCATTGTCACCAGCAACAGGCTCCTCCTTCACCTTTTAAAACCTTGATCCAAAGCCCATTTGAAGAGACCGGGCATCTTTCCATTGACTTCTGTCATCTTTGGATCAGGCCTTTACCCCCTGTATATATTTAAGTAGGTGACGAAACACACAGGAGATTTGAAACTTCCCACTGCTCAGGTTAAGTGCAGACAGTCAAAAAGCCCGAGGCGGAATCGATTTAATCTATGCAGCTTGCATAGATCGGACCATTAATGAACAGAGCACACATTCACACATCAGTAGCTCAAATCAGGCAGATGCCTGCACTGGTGAAGCGGGGTGCTTGTGCACGCCTCCCAGCTTTGCCGGGCTGTGGATGCCCTAGCCCCCACTCCCTTGGCAGCCCCCCAACTGTCAGCCAAGAGAAGGCAGACAAGGGGGAATGGGCCCCTGCATTGGCCCCCCCAACTAGGATCTGCACAGTGGTGAGGGGGGGAAAAGCCTCCAAAACTGATAGGTGGGTGGCTAGTGAGAGGGCAGAGCCAGGGCATTTGCAGCCCAGAGGAGCCTCAGAGGGCTTCCCCCCCTCTCCTGCCAGCTGGGGTGGTGAGGCTGAAGTGCGGGAACATTTCTCCCATCTCTGCCCACCCCCAATGTGGTTGAGAGGCAGGGGGGCAGTAAGGGGGTGGGGCTGGAGCTGCCGAATCACACACCTTGGGGGGGAGCCCCTGCCTCAGGGAGCTGTGTAGACCCCAGCTGGTAGGAGCTGGGGCCAAAGCAGGGGTCAATTTCTTCCCACATTCACCTCCTTCCCTCCCCCGTGGCTGACAGGGTGTGGGACTGGGGCATTTGTAGCCTGGCAGAGCTGTGCTGCAGGGGAAAAAGCCCCTCCCTCAGGGGGCTTGCCCCATGTCTCCGCCGCTGTTCAGAGCCTGGCTGAGGGGGCCAGAGTTGGGGTCCATCCTCCCTAATTCACCCCTCCATGGCTGACAGATGGCTGGCTGTCGAGGGGACAGGCAGAGGTGTTTGCAGCCCGGCAGAACCCCCTGTGGAGAAATCCCCTGCCTTGACAGCTTCCCCCCTACCTGCTGTGCAGGCCCTGGCTGGGGGAAGCTGGGGCCAGGGCAGGAGTCCATTCCCTCCCAATCTGCTCCTGTGCCACGGCTGGTGGGACTGGCAAGGCTGCCTCATCTTTGTGACAGCTGGGGGCAGGGTTGCCTGGCTCGGCTGGAGCAGACAATCTGGGGCAGATGCTAGCCCACCGAATCTGCGATGGGGAGACGGGACTAGCTGGGGTTGAATGCATCCTGGGATGCAGGGGGACTGAGACTTAGCTTGTGTCGGGAGGGGATCTGGGACAGAAGTTCAATAAACCAGTTTAACTAAAATCAGTTAAGTATGATACTACATCCATCCAATTTTATCTTAAACTAGTTTCAGTCATTCTGAAACTGGTCTATGTGCACTGAATTTCTGTTCTGTTACAGATTTAAACCAGTTTCTGATCACTTATATTGGTCTGTGTGTAATGTCTGTTCCTAGCTATAGTGTTGATGGCAGAGAGTTTGTCTTCAACAGAAGCTGTACTGGTCCAACTCTTCTCATTTGGGCAGAAGCTGGCATGCATTCATATGCACATCCCCAATGAAAAAATCTCGGGACCTAAATGTATTTAATTAAGTCAGTCTGCAACTGCCACTATTCTGTTTTGGAGGGAATTAATTTGATTTAGTGTTGCTATGGACACACCTCACTTATGAGTAAACCAGTATAAGGAGTCCTCCTCCTGCTATCCCATACTGCACAATGTATAACTGACAGTGGAATCCAATGGACTCTCGGGTTAGCGTATCTGGAAGCCACTCCTCTGTTTAGTCACCTCTGGCAAATTCATATCGGTCTCATTTGTGAGCCACTTTGGTAGCAAGCAAATCCCATTTCTCGGAGATGCGCAGCTTCTTGGAGAAAACTCAGAACAGTTCTCATGTATGCCTCCTGCACCTGCACAGAGCCATCCAGAGCTCACTGCCTTCACTGGCATGCGGGATGAGAAGCATGTGCAAACACAGCTGGAAAGTAGTTGGTAGCGTGATTAAAAGATAAAGAAAAACAAACCCAAAAACCAATTCCAGAAGAAAGAAAAGGAGCTCACTCAAATCTTCCAGCATGTTATTGACAACAAATACATCTAAATCCTCCTTCCTTACGTTATTTAAGTCTAGCATTAGCTTTACTCCTCTGTACCCAATGGGCAAGTTTCTAGCTGAGATCCAGCCGAGTAATAGAGCATGAAGGTACTCCACTCCAAGTCCCAGATCTCTAGCACAAGGAATAAAATAAACAGCCCCAGGCTGTTGTCAAGAGGCCCCCAGCCAACCACCAATGCCAGCATGGAAGAAGCACTTTGTGGGGAGGGGGCAGTCATAAACCACAGTACTGTGCAGGTTCTGGAAAGCACTGCTGCTAGTGAGGTGCTGTAACTTAGTTTAGGGATGCTGAAGGCAAAGATAAGGTGGCACCAGGGACAGCAAACCTGGGATAGTTGTAATCTTTCTAGCACAGAAAGTAATAGCTGGAAAGATGTGATATCATAGACTTTTGCATAGCATGTACCTAGGCTCCCAGATGGACCTGTCCAGGTTTTGCTGAAGTTTGCATTGTCCTGTTTTTACTGCTGGTGTTATTCAAGCTAGCTAGATTAAAAAGCTGGTTTGCAAACATATCTTTACTTCTAGTATACCCCTCAGCTTCTATGGGGACCAAAGCCTGGACTAACTCTAAGGTGGGAAAGCATAGAAGAGTGTAACGTGCTCCTTCTTTGGACAATGAGTTCTGCATTGCATCTCTGAGAAGCAAACCTTAAAAATTCACCTCTAGCTTTTGTTAGAGCGTGCTGGAGTACAATATGATTATGCACTGTACAGGGACCCATAGGACCAAGACTAAAATATGGGTTCATGCATTCACCTTCATGATCTATGCAAATCCATTGTAAAAGCAAAGCAACTGCTCATGTTTAAAGGGAATGGGCATCTGTTGCAACCTGCCATATCAATATCTAGACATAAAATTATGGATCATAGCTCCAAAAACTGGTCTGTATCTTTGTTAATTCAGTGTCACCACACCATCACATGCTGTCCTTTGCCAACAATGCATTTAAAGCAAAAAGAGAAAAAATCAGGAGGCTGCAAAGTGCTTTAGAAAACTATAAAAATAACTATGCTAAATGTTTCATTGGTACGATATATGTGAACAGTCAAAGTCCAAACTCTGATCTGTTTTAGCCATTAAAATAATTGCCTGGTTATTTTAGCAACTGTTGAACAGTCTCCATGGTGCTTTAAAAATAAAGAAATCCTGCATATCCACAGGATAGTCAGGATTTTGAAGTCGTTCAAAACACCTCATTATTTTCTCCCATTTGCAACAATCTCAGTCTCAGGGACCCAAATGTAGATGCTGATGCTCAGCACCAAATCCAAAAAGATGTTGCACAAGCTGTTCTGAGTTAACATGAGCCAGTAAAACAAATGGAATTGGAGAGAGATCAAGATAAAATGAAAAACCAGGAGTAACAGCTGGCTCAGAGAGAAGGCAAAGGTTAGGAGGGAGATTGGGGCCAGGAAGGAAAGTGGGCACATTTAGTTGTGACCAAGTAGAAATAAAAAAGTCTGGCAAGAGGGGAGAGGGTCAAGCAGTAGCTTGTCTTTTACCAAGATTTAGTTCTGCTTTTAAGTGCACAGGAGAGGATTGCTGAATGTAAACCACTATAGATTGTTGTAGAGGAGTTCCCAAGTCAGTCATCGAGACACACTGCATAATAATGCCTAGTTTTTTTCTGATCCTCATATGGCAATGATATGCACTGCCATTAGAGTGCTGAGCTGGCTATTTTACTGGAAACTGTTAATGAAACCAGCACTTGGAATTGTGCTGAAGCAGCCTGCCTCCACAGCACAGGGACTGGTAGAAAGAAAATGGACTCTCCAGGCAGCTGTGACTTATATTTTACCAAGCAGCCACCACCAGCAATCTCCAAAGGCAGCATAAAACAATCACTTAGCAGGCTGGAGGCCAGCAGCAAAAAACTTGAGGTCTCCTCCTGTTCTGCCAAGCACTGTCCAAAATTTATCTATTTTCTAAAGAGGGCTAGGAATACCATCCCAGCCTGTATTTGGGCAGAGATTTCTCACTGAAGACAACATGCAGAGGGGGAAAGAGGAAAAGAGGCTTTTATTTTCTTCCATCTTAGGATACATAAAGAAATACTTATCAGTGGGAAAGAAATTAATTTTGTATATTTGGGGTAACATTGCTGAAAGGTAGATTTGTCCGTTTACTTAACTAGAAACCATAAATGGGTCTACAAGGCATATGGGAAAGTAAAAACAATGAAGCAGGAAAACAGCAAGTTTCACTTAAAAGTTGGATTAAAAAAACCAGGCAAATTGAAATGGTATTTGAAAAATCTTGCACTGAAAAATACATGTAGTAGCATTGCAATAAATCAGTTGTAAAACAGAATAAATTTGTATGATGAGTAATAAAGCAATCAGCTAAAGGCAAGTTGTGTGTCTGGGTGGAATCTATGAGAGATTTGTTGCATTCACACTAGGAGTCATTAAGCATCGGTAATTAACAAAACTGGCAGATAAATGGGTATGAAGGTTAGTAGGTAATTAAGAACTAACTTACTTGACTTGGAAGACACAAGATATAACCATTATGACAAGCATGATATAAAAAATGGGGTGAGTTAGCTGCATTTTACCCCTCGCTGAGAGCACTATCATGCCTGCCACAGCCTTCACTGAAACGACAGTCACTGATGCTGAGAGAGAGAGAGAAAGAGAAATTAACACGGAAGAAATTATTTAAAAGTATGTCAGAGTTTTGGTGATACTGGAAGAGCAAAGTCAAAAAAGGTCATAGATGCTTGAGTAGTGGAATTGTAGTACCCAAGTCCAACAGTGAGATATTGAAACCCCTGATAGAAGTGGTACCTAAACTCCACAGATGCCTTAAAATTTCTAAAGAGGGAATTAAATCTAGGTTTCTAAGTTCTGAGAAGGTCACCCTATCCAGGAAGCCATTATTTAAAAAGTGGACCATTGCTACCACCACATGTTAAAAGAAAAGGGGTAAGTCCTGCAGTGGTTTTTAAGAAACAGTTGTAGGCATCTACTCTCAGGACAGGGTTCTGAGCAGACAATCCCAAATTTATGATGGTACTTTCCTGCAAGCTCAAGCCCAGATTATGGAGGAATTTACATCAGACCCCTGCTGTTAACATTTCCTTATTGGCTCTGGACACTTGCCCACTGAACGTGCTAGTGTTAGGCAGCAACCTGTTCAATGTGTTGGTTATTTAAGACCCCACTTTGAGGTATCTAACTTCCTCCCCCAGTGCATTGTACATGGAGTCCAGGTGCCTTGTGCACTGTGAAGCCAGGCTCTGCAGTGCCTTTGGCAACCAAGCCCTTTATTGGATCCAGTCCATTGATCAGAATGAATTTTAAAGGAACAGTTATTAATCCATTATATGATTTTCTTTGAAAAAGAATACTAACAGGTTTAAAAAAACACATCACCACAAAGAAGTCTTGTTTAAAGGAAATCGATGGCTTGGGACAGGGAGAGGAAAGGGGGAGGGGAGAAGATGGACCATAGTGTTGTCAATCATCAGTTCATGGAGCATAACTAGCTTTTTCATTCGTACCAGCCAGGAAAGGGGCTGATGGTTAGACTCAAATGCAGGAAGCTTTTCTTTTGGAACAGGCTATTATTAAAGATGCAGAGAAGTGATGGTCAGCTTCATTCTGAACCTGTGTTGAAAACTGCTCCCAGTTAACTCAAATGGGTACCTGCTTATTTGGGCTGAGGAGTCAAAGGCAGATGTGGTGGCACTCCCTTGTGTGCCACTGGCTACAGAATAGGTATACATTAACTGTGATAGCCCAATGGGTCATCCAGGCATGGGCAGACCTTTGACTTTCTTTGGGCTCTTAGTTTGCTGTAGTCCCTGCTGCTGAAGTTAAACCAGGGAGATTAGAATGATCAGAAGTGAAATGTAACAAATTCAAAACAAATGGCATGGCAGGACGAGAAGAGAAAGCTCACATGTAATGGTAACAGAAAATAATTAATAGTAGGGAACAGAGTCCCACCACTGAGATCCAATTCCAACTTCTCCAAAGTTCAGAAGCATCCAATTTCAGCGTTCCAGTTTGTGTTATTACAGCTGCAAAATTCAAATCAGCGCACCAATCTGAACTGCCCTAGAGTTCAGGGCAGGAGATAAGGGGGGAGGGGGCGCTTTAGATCTGGGGTTATAATTCCAAGCATTTTGCTTACAACTGCTATAAAAATCCACAAGATTTCACTAGCCTTGTGGTGGCCCCTGCACATGCAAACTTCACTATCAGAACCAAGTTCTATGAGAGACTGCTCACCCTGTAGTATCTGAAATCAATAGGATTATTCCAGAAAAAAGCAATATTTGAGGTGATCAAATGTATCATATTCTGGCCTTTAACAGGTGCCAAACATGCTAGGGAAATGATGATTTAAAAAAAAAAAATCAGTAACCTCAGTCTGTTAGAGAGCAGCATGTAGAAACTGAGACTTACAGTTGGAAATAGGATTTTAAAGTAACAATTGGTAGTGCTGAATTTCCAATTGATGGTTAGATTGCTGAAAGGTGAAGATATTTGTTATGATAGTATTATCAAAAATGGTAGGGCAGTTTCCATCCTGTTTCTATACAGCCTTAGGAATTTCAGTTTTAGCTTCAGTATTTCAATTGTTAAACTGAAATAGTTTATCTCATTAGAGTAGCCACAAAGCAGAATGAAATGGTTTTGCTATCTCTGATAACAGGGCTCCATGTAGATAGTGTTGCCAATGATGTCACTGTCCAGCTGTAACCAGCAGGAAGCTCTGAAATCCCAGTTTAATCTGAAACCTTTTCCAAGCATACAGTAACTCCCAGTGTATACATGAGGTAAGGCAATTCTCACCAAATCAACTTCCAGAGCTGCACCGAGCAAACCGTTTTCAGATTTCTTGTAAATATCACCTCAGTGTTTTTTTCCCAATGAACATAAATCTTATTCTGTATCTCCCTCTATCCTATTAAACACATGCTTTTCTCCTCCTTAAATAAGTCCCTCTAAATTTTATTTATATATAAAACCTTTTCCCTGGGGATAGGCTTTCCCAGGCATTAGGGGAGGGATTCGCCTTGCCAAAGACAGAAAACTGAAGATCCCTTTAGCTGCTTCTATAAAGACCTGCAAAAGAGGCCAACCTTGGCCATCGTCCTTTCAGGCAAGACTCTCTGAAGTCTGTTAACACATCAGTCAACCAAAAGGATGCTAGTGAACCTTCTGAGGCAATTTGCCATTTCTTGTGGCCCAAGAGCAGTGCTCCCAGACTCTGCTAGCCAGAGAGGCGAATGAACAGGTTGAAGAATCCAATCTAAGTTTTCAGTGGGGAATTGCAAAAGACTACCATTTTAGCAGACTAAAACTATAATTTCCGGCTTCAAGTAAAATTCTATACTTCAAAATTTCCCATGACCCAGAAATTCTGAAATCACTTTGTTGTGTAAATACTGATGCATAATAATTCTGAAAGTGAATGCATTTTCCAGGACCCTGGCAGCTACTGACTGAAAGGGACATTTTTGTCATTGTCTGTAACTGCAGTAGGCTATCAGGGTTTCCAACAGCCCCACCATGCAGAATACCCCAGGACCAGGGATATCAGGACTTCCTGATTTCGTGGCCAGTGGGCTATAGGATTCATGTAGTCCTAGCCAGCCAGCCCCAGAGTCTGGAAGCTCTGTAGTTTCCAGCTTGGCGCAGTCCATATGATGGGTCTTCCCCAGGACCACAAACTCCAGAAATTCAGCATAGGACTTCAAGCCTCCCAGACCCATGACAGCAGCCTTGAGAAACCTTGTCTCTGCAGCAGAGCTTGGAGCTACAAGAAGGTCCTCAAGGCTTCCAGGCTCATATCACTATGTTGGGAAACCTAGTAGACCTCAATGTAAGGCTTCAGAAACCAAGTTAGACACAGATTCCTGGGTCTACAGCAGGGGCTCTGAAAATCCAAGTATAGGAGGGCTGTCTTAGAGCTCCAGACTCTGGAAACCTTCTTCCAGCCCATGGCAGGGCTGTTAAAGAATAAGGAGATTGCCTTCTTCCAGCCCATGGCAGGGCTGTTAAACAATTGAAGAACTGGGAGGGCCAGGCCCCCATCAGCCTGCTGGGACATCACTCAGGATTCTGATGGCAGGCTGCCTGAGAATCAGCAAAAGTTCTCTAAAACTGAAGGATCCTGTAAAACATTTGGAGCCTTTAACATTGGCATTTTCTGCTCAAGTTTTCTTCCTTCAGAAGTGTCCTGACTATACTAGGTACATCTCATAAATGTATCTGGAGCTCAAACTTTCACCTACAGAAGTCTATGAGAATGCTGTCACTGGCTACACTGGCGCCGAATCAGACACTTAAATCTTCTCCAGAATACTTCATATCCTTTGGAAGGTGACATACCCCTCACATACACCCACCCAGGAGAGTTTTAAGTGTCATTATATCATGTTGCTCAAAAATGAATCGGATTTGCCTTTTATAAAACTTACGGAAAAAAAGTCTCTTCCAAACTTTTGATTCTTTATTGCTTCTGGCCCTGGCATTCATTGATGATAATGGCAAACTCTAGGCACTTTTCAGTGTCCCACTTAGATCTTATTTCATATCTGAAAAGGCAGCAACATAAACTATATTGTGTTTGTTAGAACTTTGGTTTTGGGGAAAAATGTGTATGTAGGTGGGTGTAACTGGATACAGAGAGGAAGCCCCAACTGATCAAACTGCAGAGCTGCATTCAGCTACACAGAGGTTAAGAGGTTTTTTCTGGTTTTGTATTAAAATTACTGATTTCCTCAGTTAGCCCCAATCACCAAAAGTCCTCTTAGCCATATGGAGTTTCACATAGAATCTGTATTTCACTCTTTCAGGGATCTAATGATAAAGGGTTTCTTTAAATGGCAGAGACAAAAAGTCCTTGCACAATATCCACACAGAAATCAGGTTCAGAGAAGCAAACCTAGTCTGTGAAAATAATGAATCCTAACTATAAACATAGGAAGTATGTTCATAAGGAGATTGCACTGAAATCAAGTAAAATGCCTAAGGAGTCTCCTGCTAATTGCCACTTTAAAAACATTTCTAATAATAATCCAAGAAAAGGGACCAAGTGACAAGGAGTGATCAAGTGAGAGACAGGAATATTAAAGAGAATAATATGTTCTTACCAAGTAGCGCTACCATCATTAACAAAACCACAATGTGCTTCACATCTTTTCTTTTATAAAAATACAGGAGAATGCAGAATGTTATTATTTCCAAGATCTGGAAATAAAAGGGAAGAAAGGTTGAGCTGTTAAACCACATAATAAATGCTTCATTCAAACTCTTTAAGATGTCATATTTATCTACTCTGTTCAAACAGTTCAAAGGCAGATTGCTTTATTAAGAATCTTTGACTAAAAAACAACCTTATCTCCAGTCAACTAAGTTATCAAATAATTGTCCTCATAAATCTTTCCTGCTCTTAAGGAAGATAATGTTAACCATGTCTCATCTCTTTAAGTACCAATTTGTGTTGGCAGCATTGAGAAGATTAAAACAAAGACTGCTTTTCTATGGCAGTGAATGTACCCTGTTTGCTAGAAACAATAAATATAGAGACCCATCATATGTAATCCCCAGGTTCCCTTATGCTACAGAAGAACATCATGTTATGCCAGTCAGATTTTCCAACAGTGCCTATCATTCTAGTATCCAACTGCATTATTTCCTTCAACTTTGCCCTTTTCTTCCTCCTCATTCAACAGAACTTTAGTGATCTTCCTTTCTGAACCTCCTGCCACTTATATCAAAAGGGAAAGTATTTATTCTGTGCAATGATCTTCAAATCACTTGCTAACTACCTACCTGTTAGAAGGTTCCATGAGAGGAAGGACACTGGCAAAGCTCAATGACACACCATCAGGGACAGTGCTGCAGGGTCTTGATGCTGCTGCATCCTTACACTGTGTACAATCCACACTTGCTCCCCTCAATATCATCCCCATATTCCAGACTGATACTTAAATTTACTAGCTTCGCTATTAATGCTAACTCTTAGAGACTGCCATACTAACTCTTGCTCTCTTGCCAGTACAGAGATATTTCTATATTATCAACTGCACAAAACAGCCTAGCTATTATCAGCTACAGGGTTATCTGTCCAGTGTCTTTGGGCACAAAAGATGAGTATTGAGTTCACTAGTAACAATTATTCAAGAATAAAATGTGTTTTTTTGTGATGTAGCATAAACAGGTGACTACCTGTCAACATAAAACTTCACTCTGTGCTGAAAGAATGGGCAGTGAATGAAATGGCTCCTGGGAATAGCATAATCTGGCAGGTAACCAGCAGCCCATCTACAAACAAGCATGTACTGTCATTTTTGCCTGGGCAAGATTCTAAGGGTGAAAAATGCAGCAAGCATAGGCCCTACCTTGTATTAGGACAGTCTGTGTAGCATCCCAGACATTCAAAGCTGGCCTAAAGCGTGTTTAACCAGCCACAGGATCATGGCCCTAAAGGGAATATTCAACTGATACAGTAATTGCTGGAATGCTCCTACTCCATTCCCTTCCCTGCTATAGGTGCAGGGGCTATGTTCAGGGCCCATTTATTGCCAGCCCCTGGAATGACTACTTGGGACTATTCATTTTTTTTTGGTGATAGCTTTTATTGAACCAAGTGTATATTTGGAGAGAGGCTAGATGAGCTTTCAGGCACAATGTGTCCTTATTCAGGTTGAGGGTATCAGTAGCAAGCATACATGAAAGCAGCCCTCAGGTGGCCTGGTAAGGGAAGCACCAAGCTGACTGGAGCCACACTGTGTATCCTGAGCTGTATGGAATATTTTGGATCCAAGTCCCAGCTTCAGTCTCAAAAAGAAGCAGCCCATTGCTCACTATCTATTTCAGTGGTATAAGGTAAACAGCATAGCTACCTCTTTTTCTTAAGAGCATCAGCATCTGAGCTACAGGGATCCTTATATGCCCCTCAGGCCTGATCCTGCAGGAACTCCCATGTAAATAGGTGGGGTTTCTGCACATTGACCAACTATGGAATGTGGGGCTTAAAACATGGGTGCAACCACTAAGGAAGGCTGGTGATCAGAGTGATACCTTCTTCCCCCAGATTTTTTTCCTTCCACTCATGGCTTCATAGTGCTGTTAGTGAGCACCCTGATCTGACAGCATTTCAGTTATAGTATGTGCTGCTAACTGCTCTCATTCCATGGGGCAGCTATGAAGACCACCAGATGCTAAAGGCCAGGTAGCTGAGCAGAGCAGAAACTGCACTCAAAAAGGAAGAGAGCCCCACACTGCCAGCCCAATCCAAAGTCCTACAGGTGGAAGTCTTTCTCTTACCTATCACAAAAAGCCTCAGACTGAGGTGAGGGTACTTCAAGAGCCTCATTCCTTCACATGGTATCCCTAATGTACAGAACACAGCAGCTGCTGGAGCTGGAGAATCCTGTGGGAAGCTCGGCAGGCCATGTAGGATGGGGTGTCTTACGAAAAAGATACTCAAGATCCTAGTAGCAGAAGAAGGATACTCAACCACCTCTATGGGACCCAGAGTTCATGGGTGATAGCAATTTAGGGCAGGGAGGGAAGAAGGCACAGAGACGGTAGTCTGTCACTTTGGTAACTGAGTTCTGCAATGGTTATTCTCAATTTTTTTCCATGAAAGTGATCATTAGATCAACCTTTAGTTTTCTTCTCCTGCTTTTCTACTCACATTTCTTTTCTTTTTTAAACTGTGGCTTCACCTCTGGCCCAAGCAGACTCATAGAGGAAAGGTTGGAATCCAAAAGGATTCTTGTTGGTTGCACTAATGAAACATCTACACACAGACTGATGATTCTGTGGTTGCGGTTACAGTTTTAAATAATTCACTTTTGTTAAAAAGAGAGACTGTACCAATAATCTGTAAAACTAATTTACCTAAATCCTGTTCAACATTAACTCAAAAATTACACCATTAGAAAATATTAAAAAAAACACATTTTTTCTTAAATAATTTTTTCTATGGGACTCCATACTCATTTTTTACTCCCAAAGACACTTGACAGATAACTTAGTCTAATAAAATTATTCATATTGCAAATGTGCCAGGTTTTTTTTCCTCCACTCTAAAAATATCAAAATCCTTTTTAAAATATTTTTAAAATACTTTGAATATGAAAACACAAATATTAAGAGCTATTTGTTCAATGTGCTTTTCTGGTCTAAACAATCTACACAATTTGTCATTACAGATGACAACAAATTTCTCTTCAAGGCTATTCCTCACTGCAGCAAACAAAATGCAACAATGAATTGGATAAAGGTGAAGGCTAAAATACAGTAGAAGATAGACCTGATTCGTCACTTCTTTCCCGAAGTTCTGTACTAATGTAAGACAGTTGCGTTTGACAGAGTCACCACAGCTTTCTTCAGTGCAGCGAAGAGTAATGTTTAAATTAGGAAAAGTGAGAAAGTTCATGCTGGGACCTAACAAACACGTCATCTCAACTGACGCCCAGGAAAAAGCCAAACTATTAAATGGGTACTTTGCATCAGTCTTTCATCAGTCCCATGGGACGCCCATGCCCGCAACAGGACAGGGAGGTCTGGGTGAGGGAGATCCCCTGCCCTCCATTAATGCTGACCTCGTGAAGGAACACCTTGAGAAGCCAGATACCTTCAGGTCAGCCGGCCCTGACAATCTACCCCCCAGGGTACTCAAGGAGCTGGCGAGCATCATAGCCCAGCCTCTGCCATGGATCTTTGAGAACTCCTGGCACTTTGGTGTAGTGCCTGAAGACTGGAAGAAGGCCAATGTGGTGCCATTCTTCAAGAAAGGGAGGAAAGTGGATCTGGCTAACTATAGGCCTATCAGCCTGACTTCTATCCCGGGGAAGATTTTGGAAAAGTTTATTAAAGAGGACTGGCCGACGCCAACATCCTAAGAAATAGCCAGCATGGGTTTCTTTTGGGTAGGTCTTGTTTGACAAATCTCATTTCCTTCTATGACCAGGTGACCTATCATCTGGACAAGGGAGAAGAGATTGATGTCATATATCTTGACTTCAAAAAAGCCTTCAATCTGGTATCCCATGATCACCTCTTGGCGAAACTGGCCAATTGTGGCCTTGGGCCCACCACG